CCCCGCTCACCTGGATCTCCAGCTCGGCGACGCGCTGTCGCATTTCGGCCAGGGCCGCCATGCTGTCGGCCTCGCGCAGCCGCACCGCCATCACCTCCTCCTTGCTCTGGGGACAAACGTGTCACCCGGTGCCACCCCTGTGTCACCCACCCCCCCTGTCCCCAGGCACAAGGGAAGGCCGGTGGAGGGGACGTTGGGGGTGATGGAAACCCAGTGGAGGGGACATGGGGACGCTGTTGGAGGGGACATTTGGACCCTCTCAGAGGTGACACATTGATCCCTTTAGAGGGGACACGGGGACCCCATGGGAGGGGACATGGGGACACTGCAGAAGGGGACACTTTGACCCCATGGGAAGGGCTGTGGGTGTCCCCAGGCAGGGGACATGGCTGTCCCAGGGGAGAGGATGGGGTGTCCCTGGGGAGGGGACATGGGTGTCCTGGGGAGAGGACAGGGGTGTCCCTGAGGAGGGGACAGGGATGTCCCAGGCAGAGGACATGGGTGTCCCAGGGAGAGTACAGTGGTGCCCCCGGGGAGGGGACAGAGGTGTCCCCAGGGAGGGGACAGGGGTGTCCCTGGGGAAGGGACAGGGGTGCCCCAGGGGAGGGGACAGGGGTGTCCCTGGGGAGGGTCTGTGGGTGTCCCTGGGGAGGGGACAGGGGTGTCCCAGAGGAGAGGACAGTGGCGTCCCTGGGGAGGGGACATGAGTGTCCTAGGGGAGAGGACAGGGATGTCCCCAGGCAGGGGACATGGGTGTCCCAGGGGAGGGGACAGTGGTGTCCCTGGGGAGGGGACAGGGATGTCCCCAGGGAGGGTCTGTGGGTGTCCCGGGGGAGGTGATGGGGAGCACCCATGGGTACCCCCAGAGGGGTGACAGAGGAGGGCCCGAGGATGTCCCCAGGGCGTCCCCAAGCGTCCCACCTTGCACTGGGCCTCGGCGTGTTTGCGGTGGCTCTCGCTGAGCTGCGCCTGCAGCCCCTTGCTCTGCGCTGCCGCCAGCCGCAGCTGCTCCCGCAGCCCCGCGCAGGTCTGCTCCGCCCGGCCCAGCACCGTGCGCTGGATCTGGCCCTGCAAGGGACAGGACTGTCACCACCCCGTCCCCTGTCACCCCCGCCTCGAGCTCCCGCAGCCCCTGTCCCCAGTCTGGGCCTGGAGGGGGGGACAGGACTGTCACCACCCCTGCCGTGGTCCCTGTCACCACCTCCCCCAGCCCCACATGGCTCTGCTGCACCTGGATCTGGCCCCAAGGGTGCAGGCACCCAGCACCCGTGGATCCAGCACCCCCAGTTTGGCCCCTCCTGCCCCAGCACTCCCAGTCCAGCACCCACAACCCCAGCACCCCCAGTTGAGCCCCCCAGCCCCAGGTCAGGATGCAGCCCGGGCTCTGACCTCCGTCGTGAGCTGCAGCACCCCCAGCCCCATCACCCACACCCTCAGCACCCACGGCCCCAGTACCCCCAGCACCCACAGCCCCAGTACTCCCCAGTTCAGACCCCCAGCCCCCAGTCAGGATGCGGCCCCGGCTCCGACCTGTGTCTCGAGCTGCAGCACCCACTGGCACAGCACCCCCAGCCCTAGCACACCCAGTTCAGCACCCATGACTCCAGTACCTGCCCAGTTCAGCCCCCCCGGCCCCCAGTCAGGATGCGGCCCCGGCTCTGACCTGCGTCTCAAGCTGCAGAACCCGCTGGCGCAGCGGCCGCAGCTCCGCCCGGGGAGCGCCCGCAGCTCGGCCTGGGCCTGGGCCTCCCGCAGCCGTGCCGCCACCACGGCCTCCTGCAGCGCGTTGGCGTTGCTCCGCCGCGGGGACTCCTTCCAGCGCCCGCCTGCCCGGCCCGCCTGTGCCCCGCACCCGTCAGGCACCCGCCAGGCGGGTGGGGGGGACCCAGGTGGCCCTCGTGGGGACCCAGGTGGCAGGGAGGGGACCCAGATGTTGGAACAAGGGACCCAGGTGGCCAGGAGGGGACGAGGTGGCCAGGAGAGGACACAGCCGTCAGGACAAAGGACCCAGGAGGACAAGAGGGGACCCAGATGTTGGAACAAGGGACCCAAGTGGCCCTCGTGGGGACCCAGGTGGATGGGAGGGGACAGAAGTGTTGGGACGAGGGACCCAGGTGGCAGGGAGGGGACCCAGGCGTCAAGACATGGGATCCAGGCAGATGGGAGGGGACCCAGGTGGCTGGGAGGGGACGAAGTGGCCGGGAGAGGACACGGCCATCAGGACAAAGGCCCCAGGAGGACAAGAGGGGACCCAGATGTTGGAACAAGGGACACAGGTGGCCAGGAAGGGACCCAGGCATCAGGACAAGGGTCCCAGGTAGCTGATAGGGGACCCAGGCACCCTGAGGGGGGACCCAGGCATCTGGGGGGACACCCAGGTGTCTGGGGGGGGGACCCAAGCATCCGGGGGACACCCAGGCATCCGGAGGGGACGCAGGCGCCCGGGTCCTTACCTGCCAGCTGTCACTGAGGTCCTTCACCTGCTGCTGCAGCTCCGTCAGCGACTTGACGGCCTCGGCCTCGCGCAGCGCCAGCGCCTGCAGCTCCTCCTGCAGCCGCACCACGTTGTCCTCGTCCGGCAGCAGGCTGTTCCTCTGCGGGGACACGGGGGACGTCAGCGGGGACACCCCGGGGCAGGGACATCCCGGGGCGGTAGCACCGGACGTCGGTAGGGACATCTCAGGGCAGTGGCACTGGATGTCAGCAGGGACGCCTCGGGGTGGTGGCACCGGTCATCGGCAGGGACACCCCAGGGTGGTGGCACTGGGGGCTTGTCCCTCTCTGCCAGGTGGAGCTGGGGACACTCATGGGACATTGTGGGAAGATGACAGGGGACACTAGGGACAGGGGATCCCCTGGGGACACATGGCACTGGGGATCCCCCAGCACAGGGGGACCCTCTGGGGACACCTGTGTGGCACTGAGGATCCCCAGGGACAGGGGACACCAGGTCCAGGACCCCCGCAAGCCCCCTCTGTGTGACACTCCCTCTCCACAAGGCCACTCGTGTGACGCTCTCCATCCCCAGGACCACTCATGTCACCATCCTGGGGCCACCCACACGACTGTCCCCATCCCCAAGACCACTTGTGTGACACTCTCCATCCCCAGGGCCACTTGTGGGATCATCCCTGTCCCCAAGGCCACCAGCCTGACACCCACGAGCTCTCCCTGTCACCTTCTCCATGTCGAGGACTTTATCCTGCATCTCCTTGAGGGCGCCGAGGGTCTCGCTCTCCCGCAGCCGCGACTGCTCCAGCTCCGTCTCCAGGTGGGTGACAAACTCCTCGCTGAAGCGTGGGTTCCCCTGCCACCGTCCCCAACGCGTCACCCACAGGACATAACGCCTGTCCCCCCCTTGCCCACGGCGGTGGCACCCACTACCTGCACCCAAATCCGGGCTGCAGCAGGGCGCGAATTGAAAGGGAGATGTGTGGGGGCGATGGGGACGCCTGGGGACATCTGGGGACATTTGGGGACACGTGGGGACACCAACCTGCTGGTCCTGCAGCTGACGGATGGTGGTCTGGGCACGCTGCAGGTTCTCAGTGGCCGAGGTGCATCGTTGCTTCACCACCGCCAGCTCTCGCTTGATGATGTAGTTCTCCTCCGCCTCCTGCGCCCGTGTCACCTGGCCCTGGGGACAGCGGGGACGCGTCACCACCACGGCAGGGCGTGCCCGGTTCTCCCCACCAGCGTGGCACTGGGAGTGGGGTGGTGGGGACAAGGGGGTGATGCCGGGGACGTGAGGTGACGCCAGGGCCGAGGGGTGACACCAGTCCCGCAGTGGGTGAAGCTGGGGACAAGAGTATGACACTGGGGACAAGGGGGTGACACCAGCCATGGAGGGTGACGCCAGCCTCACAGCAAGGTGACACCAGGAGAAGGGGTGACACCAGGAGAAGGGGGTGACACCAGGAGAAGGGGGTGACGCCAGCCATGGAAGGTGACGTCAGCCTCACAGCAAGGTGACACCAGGAGAAGGGGTGACACCAGGAGAAGGGGGTGACACCAGCCCTGGGGAGTGACACCAGCCCCACAGCAGGTGACACTGAGGACAAAGAGGTGACACCAGCCCTGTGGGGACCTTCAGGGCCATTTTGTCCCCTCCGAGCCACTCTAACCCCACAACCCATGACCTTCCACTCAAAACCCACAGATTTTGAACAAACTCACCCAAAATGGGGGCTTTTCCCCCATCTTGGCCAAACCTTGCCCTCAAGTGCCACCGCGCTGCCCGCCCCCGCTTGCCACCGAGTCCCAAAACGGGCCAAAACCTCCCATTTTCACCAACCACCCCCAAATCCTCCTTCCCACCCCCCAAAGCGGGGAAGGTGCGCGGGAGCCTCCAAAAAAGCAAGAAAAAGGGCAAAATCTTCCCCAAAATAAGCCGGACGCAGGCGGGCTGGGAAGCAAAAGGGGGAAGAAAAGGGTTAAAACGCAGCAGAAAAGAGAAAAATAGCTATTTTTGACGCTACCTGGATGAGCCTGTCGGCGAGAGCCGCGCTCTCCTGCGGCCGCCGGCGGAGAAGAGAGAGAAAGAGAGGAGAGACGTAACGAGATAAACGAAGAGGACGGAGGCAGCGAGAGGCAGAGGCACCCGGCAACCTTCCTGCGCATCATCGGTCCCCGTTTTGGGGTGTTTTCCAAGGATTTTAGCTCTTTTTCCCCCGTTTCAAAGGTTTTTTGTCTTTTTCCCCCCTGCGGGGGGGGGGGGGGGGGAGGGAAACATGGCAATGGGGGAGTTTTGCCCTAAAACGGAGCGTTTCCCACCTCCCAGAAGAAGACTTTGCGTGGAAAAATGATGAAACACCTGCTTGCTGGACTTAAATCTTCTTTTTTTGTACCAAAACGGTGCTGGGAGGGGAGATTTTGGGGATGCGGCCCATAAAAGGGGTGCTGGAGGTTGCAGGGTTGCACCCATGGGTGCTGGGATCTCTAGGTGGCGGCGGCATGGGTGCCTCAGAGGAGTTTGGGGTACTCCAGAGGACTTTTTGGGTGCTCCAGGGGGGGCTGGGTGCCCCCAGGGGGTTTGGGTGCTCCCAGGGGAGTTTTGGGGTGCCCCCAGGGGGGCTTTGGGGTGCCCCCAGGGGGGTTTTGGGGTGCCAGCCACGGGGCCTACCTTCTCCAGGGTTTCGATGCGCTGTTTCAGCAGGCGGTTCTCGGTGCGGAGGCGCTGGGGGGTGGAAAATGGGGAGGAATTAGCTCCATGGCGGGGTTTGATGTCCCCGGGGGGTCGCTGAGCTTGGGGACAGCCTGGGGACAGCCTGGGGACAGGGGGACGTGGGGGTAAAGTGGCCCCAGGGATGGGCTAAGCTGTCCCCAGATGGCTCCAGTGGCCCTGGTCAAGTGGCCCTGGGATGGCTCAACCAACCCTGAAGATGGGACGAAGTGGCCCTGGGATGGCTTACATGGCCCTGAGGACAGGCTAAGTGGCCTTGGGGACAGCTTAAATGGCCCTGGGATGGATCGTGGTGGCTCCAGGATGGCTTAGATGGCCCCAGAGATGGCTCAGATGGCCCCAGGGATGGGCTAAACGTCCTCAAGAATGGGTGAAAAGTGGCCCTGGGATGGTTCGAACTGCTCTGTGACAGGTCAAGTGGCCCCGGGATGGCTTAAGTGGCCCCTGGGGACACCTTAAATGACCAATGGGATAGGTCAAAGTGGCCCTGGGATGGCTTAAATGGCCCTGGGGACAGGCTAAATGGTACCCAGGATGGGCTAAGTGGCCCTGGGGACAGCTTAAATGGCTGTGGGATGGGTCCAAGCGATGCCAGGATGGCTCAGGTGGGCTTGGGGATGGACTAAGCCGCCTCAGGATGGCTCAAGTGACCCGAGGGATGGGTCAAGTGGCTCCAGGGAGAAGCTAAGCCCCCCTGAGATGGCTCAAGTGGCCCCAGGAATGGGCTACATGGCCCCAGGATGGCTCAAAGTGACCCCAGGGATGAGTCAAAGTGGCCCTGGGATGGCTTAAATGGCCCTGGGGATGGGCTAAGCCATCCCAGGATGGCTCAAACGGCTCTGGGAATGGGTCAAGTGACCCTGGGATGGGCCAAAGTGGCTCCAGGATGGCTTAGATGGCCTCAGGGATGGGCTACGCCATGCCAGGAGGGCTCAGCTGGCCCCGGGGATGGGCCAAGGGGCCACGAGGATGGCTCAAGTGGCCCCAGGATGCCAACACTTGACCTGTCTCACCTTGATCTCGATCTGCTCCTCCATCTCTTTGTTCTTGATGGCGGCGTACTCCTTCTCCAGCCTGCTCGGGACATGGGGACAGGCTGGGACGCGAGGACGGGGACCAGACCCCCTGGCTTCGCACCCCACGGGGATCCCACCCAAGCGCAGGAACTCGTCACCCCGTCTCACCTCTTCATCTTCTTGGGGTTGTACTTGACCTGGAAGGCCCTGAGGATGAGCTTGTCGGGGCAACTGTCGAACTGGTGTGGGATCACCTTCTGGAAGTACTGCAGGTGCGGAAATCGGTCATGAAACGTAGCCCCAAAATACAGGCCATCGCATAAAACAGCCCCAAAATAGGGCCCACTGGGTAAAACCAGCCCCCAAAATAGGGTTTGTTGGATAAATCTGCCCCCAAACACGCCCTCGTTGCATAAATCCACCTCAAAATACAACTTATTGCATAAACCAGCCCCAAAATATGGCCCATCGTGTAAACCTAAAATACAGCCCGTTGCATAAATGCATCTAAAATATGGCCCGTTGCATAAATCGGCCCCAAAACACGTCCCGTTGACTAAATCTGCCCCAAAATAAGGCTCATTGGACAAATCCATCCCCAAATATGTCCTGTTGCCTAAATCTGCCCCAAAACATGACCCGTTGGACAAATCTGCCCCAAAACATGTCCCGTTGGACAAATCCACACCAAAATACATCCCGTTGGATAAATCCACCCTGAAACCCATCCCGTGGGCTAAATCCACCCCAAAAGCCACCAGCACGTACCTGGGACATGCCCTCCATGTCGAGCTGAATGAGCTCAGCCTGGTTGAACTGCAGCAGTGCCATCCCCACGCGGAAGACGATCTCCAGGCCCTGCGGGAAGGGTCCACGCTTGACCCCACGCCTTTCCCACCCGGGGTTTTTCCTCCCCAAAACCAGATCAGCTGGCGTGGGGAGAACGTTTCCACATCCAAGTGGAAAACGTGGTTGTGGTCCCTTTGTGATTTATGGTGTCGGCCGCAGCCCCGTTACCTCGTACATGAAGATGTCGAAGACGCGCGTGGCCACGGGAAGAGGGAAGGTGGTGAGGAAGAGGGTGAGGAACCAGGACGAGGCGTACATGGAGGTGAGGAAGCTCTGCGAGCGGAAGTGGATGTTCAACTCCGGCAGCTGCTCCTGGATGCGAGAAATGGGGGAAATAAAGAGAAATGGGGAATGGTGGATGTTTTTAGGGGTTTGAACAGGTCCACGAGGTCTTGTAGAGGTCCCTGAGGGGTCTCATGGAAGGTCCCTTGGTGGGGGGGGCTTGCAGATGGTCCCCAGGGTCTCATGGGGGTCCCCAAGGTATCTTGCGGACATCCTTGGTCCCTTGAGAAATCACGGATGGTCCTCAGAGCATCTCACAGACATCCCCAGGATCTGTGTTGCTGGACACGAGCTCCATTGGGGAGGAACCCATTTCTCCCAAGAGCTGCCACCTCACTCCTGCCTCTCCCTTGTCCTTGTCCCCTGGCTCTACCTGCTGGTTCCCACCACCCCGAGCATTTTGGGGGAGCACTTACCTGCAGCATGTACTCAAACTGGTAGATGCAGAGCCCCAGCTCGGCCATGCTGGGTTTGAAGAGCTCCCGTAAGCGGTATTCCTGCATCAGCCTCACAAACACGCAGAAGGCCTCTTCCTCGGGCATCTGGAGACCCAAAGGGACATGAATTCCCCCTTAAACCTCTGCTGGCAGCTCCGGACACAGAGACTCTTCCCATCAGGTGACGGGATGGGATGGGACGTGCCGGGAACCGTCCCTGGGTGAAGGGGAATGCGAACGGGGGATTTTAAACCGATCAGGAGTAAGTGGGATAGTGGGAACGAGCCCATTTTGTTCCTGAGGCTCAAGAAAAAGGCTCCTATTCCCCAATCCCATTCTACCACGTCTTCGGAGGGTGTTAAAACCCCATTGGTGGCTTCTCTTCGTCCCGGGGGCTGGCACAAACCTGCATGAGCAGCAGTCCCACGATGAAGGCGCTACCCTGGCAGTATCCGACCTCCCGGTCCACCAGCGAATAGGCCTGGAAGGAGGAAAAAAAAAATCAAAATAAATATATGCGTGAGCAGGGGGATTGGCTGCGCCACCATCCCTGCTTGCTGTGGGAGGGCAACGGTGGAGGGAAGCCTTGACCATGGAAAATAGCTTTTTTTGGTTGACAATGCCTCCTGCGAAGACGACGTTGCTGCAAACTTGAATTTAGACCTCAAAAGATTCAAATATCCATTTCTTAATTCAGAGTAAAACTCAACAGGAAAAAATGAGGTCTGGGACGGATGGGGAATGAGGTCCCTTTGCGAGGAAAGGGCTGTGATGCTGCAAGAAGTGATGCTTCCAGGAGTTTCTGGGGGAAACCAAACCCCTCAAAAATTAATATCCAGTTTAAACAGCTTCAAAACCCAAAGCGGTGCCCGGGCTGTAGCCATGATCCGTTGATGTTTGAGGAAAAGACGTTACCTTCATGACGTTGAAGAGCACCTCCTGGCCCAGACTGTCCTGTCCCTTGAAGAACTCGTGCTCCGGGTAGGTGCGGGCGATATCCCGCCGGATGAGCTTCTCACAGGGAGAGGACATCTTGAGCAGCTCCGAGTATTGGTTTTTGACGGGCATGTCGGTGGCACTGCAGAGCAGCTGCCAGACAATGGCACGGAAATGGTGGGGGATCCCTTTGCGGATGAGCTCCTGTGGAAAAATGGGGCAAAAACCTGAGAAAATGGGTTTCAAGGAGATGAGGAAGCTCCTCGCGGATGGGGAGACATCGTCTTGTCCCAGCACGTGGAAGAATGGTGCAGATTTTTGCAGGGGGGTTAAAATATAATTAAAAATAAAGCTACATCCTTACCTTCAGCAGCTTCTCCTTCTTCTTTCTCCACTCGTCCCACTCGTTGACGATGCGGCCCCAGAGGATCCAGGTGTCCTCCTCGAGGTGGCTGAGGTTGGAGGAGGCCGAGGAGCTGGAGACCAAGGAGGAGCCGCTGTTCCTTCGCGAGCCGTTCATGGAGCGCATCGACTTGGAGTCAGCCTCCAGTAGCCTGCGAGAGACCGAGATAGCCCCAAAAAAGCCCCAAAGGAGGAGAGAGCCCCCAAAACTGCCCAAAAAGAAGAGATATTCCTCCAAAACAGCCCCCAAGGAGAAGAGATTCCCACAAAACCATCCCAAAAAAGGAGCTATTCCCCCAAAACAGCCCCAAAGGAGGAGACATTCCCCCCAAACAGCAGATATTCCCCCAAAATGCCCCAAAGAAGGAGACATTCCCCAAAAACTGCCCCAAAAGAGGAGGTATTCCCTCAAAACCACTCCAAAAGAGGAGATATTCACCCAAAATGCCCCAAAGGAGGAGAGATTCCTCCAAAACCACTCCAAAAACGGAGTTATTCCCTCCAAATTGCCCCAAAGGAGGAGATATTCCCCTAAACCACCCCAAAACAGCTCCAGGATGGGCTATTTTCCCCGGCCAGATGCCGACAGCTGCCTGGGGATGGCTTCTTTAACGAATCTGCTTAAAAAACAGATTTCCAATGGGGTTTTTCCAAGAGCGAATTTGCTTAAAAATGGCTTTGCAAGGAAATTTGCATTTCAGGGCTTGATTTTAACACCGGTTTAATGCCAGGGATGGAGCTTTCTGCCCGGTGTTTCGGCAAAGTGAGCCTCAGGGCTTGTTTCCCATCAACAGCAGATTTAAAACCCACCACCGGAGCGGGTGGGTTTATTATTTATTATTTCCAAACAACCGCCTCCTTCCAGAAATCCCCTTTGCCTGCCTGAATGAGCAAACCCTGCTGCTTTCAAAGAGAAAAAAATAACCTGGAAAATAATAAACCGGAGTGTTTTCACCCCGGCTGGAGCGATGCTTGGGGGAAGCAGCTCGTTGTTGTCCAGTCTTTTTGATTTTAAGGGAAATGCTTGAAAAAAAAAGGACAATAAAAAGACCAAACGGGGCAGATATCCCCCGGCACTCACCGATTTTGCTCCTCCAGCTTTGCCAGCAGCTCCAGTTCATCCGGGCTGAGGTTTTCCGAGTCGGAGGTGGGCGAACACGCCGGGGCTGAGTTGACGGAGGAGAGGGCTTCGTGGGAGGACGAGTCGGGGCTGACGGCCGGCGACGCCATGGCGGCGGGGGCCGGCAACGCGCTGAGCCCGCGGGGATTTCGGGGTCTCACCTGGAAAGCCGAGCGTCAGCGTGAGCGCGATGTGACCCCCCATCTTTCTCTCCTCACCACATTGCTTCAAATCTCTTAAAACCCGCCCTGTTTTAGCTAATCTGATAGAAAACAGGATGCGAGCATCGCTCAGTTTGCACCCCACTGAGACATTCACTTAATTCCCTAAACCCCCCCCCCCATTTAAGCCCAGTTTTCATGTCAAGCCAGGTCTAAGTGCATCGTCCCATGTTTGCCCTAAATTAGTTGAATTAAATTAGCGTAAAAACTGGAATTAAACCCCATGTACCCTTGTTTTGGGAAGGAACGAGCCAATGTGGGAAGAGAGGATTTGCAGAAAGCTGTCCTCACTGTGGATTTGCTTTAGGGGTTGACAGCACCCCAGTTTGCCCATTTTGGCGGCGTTTTACAGAAAAATGCCTCTTCGGGGAAGAACGAGTCTCAGTTTGGGATTACAGGGAGTGGCAGAAATAGGATGAAAAGCAGCGGTTTGAGGATTGCTGGAAAAAGAGGGGTTCAAGCGGCGTCTCCGGTGGGGATTCGCTGGAGGATTGGCAGGGATTGGGATCCCTCAAGGCAGCTCCGTCCTTTTTTGGGCTGAAAAACTCTCCTTTTGGTGAAAAAATGCTGCTGAAGATTGGCAAAATGAACCCTCAGTCGCTGCTGTGGCCAGAGGGGATGAAGAAAGCGGAGGAAAGAAATAAAAAGCAGCAGCGCCTGAAGGATGCGCCGTGAATGTGTGATTTACCTGATTTGGGCTTCATTTGCTCTCTGTGCAGATTAAGCTATAAATCGGGGAGGTTTTAACCAAAAAGCCACATTTCTGACCTCTTTTTTGGGGGGAAAAACTGGCTGGTGGAGCAAAACGAGCTCGGAGGAGAGCAGAGCAAGGAAGGGGTGCTGGGCAAGCGCAGCCATACCGCAAACGGGGAAAATTCCGTGCCGTTTGGTTAATGGTTTTCCAAAAGCAGCAAAATTTAACAGAGCGGCTTTGGGGGGAAGAATCGCGTCAATCGTTAACGGGATCACGCAGATTTGCTTATTAAGCAGGAATTTTTATAATGGGGGGAAAAAAGCCCTGATTATATTTAATTCAGCCCCATGCCGCCTGTTGCGGGACAGGGATCGTCCAGCAGCGCCTTCATCTCCAGGAGAGACGCTAATTTATTTTCTATAATTAATATTTCCCTGCAAGACCTTGCTGGCTGATATCACCCAAAATACTGTTTGAATGAAAAAAATTAGCGAGCGCCGGCGGCGGCTTTGCTGCAAAATTATAAGTTACCGATCAAAGAGCGTCCGCAGCACAACCCGCCACGGTTCAATGGGCTGCGAGAATGTCCTGAAATGGCTTTTTAGGAAAATGTTCATTTCCACGTCGATGGCGGGGGGAAATAAAAGCAACAGCCACGTGTGGATGAGCATGGGACGGCCGAAACGCAGAATTTCAACCCAAAAATGAGATAGGTAGGTGGTAATATTGTTTATTAGACCTGGAAAAAAACAGGTGGAAATGGGAAAAGAGGAGAAAAGGCAAGCTGAAATTTTTCAGTGGTTTTTTTTGGGTGAAATCTTGTTGGTTTTCCAGCATGGGGAGAAGGAGATGGTGGGCACCGTCCTTCAGGGGTTCCTGTTGTGCTGAGAGCTCATTCCGGGGTGATGGGTATGCAAATTTGCTGAAAATGCTTGAATTTGGAGGAAAAAAAAAAAGTCCAGGGGGGTGTGTGTCAAATGCACAGAGAAAATCAAAGGAAAAAATGGTGGAAATGGTCCTGGAAACGCCACCACGGCGCCCAGGCTCTGTTTTTGGGAAACTGGCCCAAAAAGGGGCTGATTTCAGGCCGTTTGCGGTGGTGCGTTAATAAAAAATAACTTTCCGGGTGCGACGGGGCGCTGCGGAGCCCTCGAGGTCCTCACGTGTCCCCATGTGCCGCTGTCACGTTGACTCATTTTCCCCCAAAATACCATCGCTCAATCAAAACGCCGTAAAAAAAAAAAAAAGCCCAATTTGGTGGAAAAAGTTAAAATTTCCCCCGTTCTGCTTAAAATTTGCCAATTTGTAGTTTTCTTGACCCATTTTTGCAGCTTTTCCATGGAGCTTTGTACCGTTTCTGTGGTGTTTTGTGCCTTTTCCACCCCTTTTAATGCCTTTTCTGTGCCGTTTTATGCCTTTTCTGCCCATTTTTGCAGCGTCTCTCAGTGTCGTTTTGCACCTTTTCCACCCTGTTTTCACAGTATTTTCTACGCCGTTTTCTCAGCGTCTCTCAGTGCTGTTTTGAGCCTGTTTTGCACCATTTTTGCCGTGTCTCCGCGCCGTTTCCACTTCTTTCCTATGCCGCTTTCACCGCCTCCTCTTAAAAGTTCATCAAAACGGGGATTCACCCCCAGTTTCAGCTGCAATTTTTGGAGGCACCAGGTAGCGACGCCGACTTTCCATTGGACACAAACCATCAAAAATCCACTAATTTGTCAGAAACCCCAAATATTAACGTACAAAAGGAGCCGGATAAGGAAAACAAATTGATTAAACCACAAATGTTTCAGCGGGATGTTCTCAAGCTTCACCAACATCCGCGGTTGGTGGAAAGAGGAGGAAAATGGATATAAATGGGTTTAAACACCATGAATTTTGCTGCTGGCGGGGATGAAGCAGGTGCAAATTTTAAACTAAAATCCCCCCCAAATGCCACCGGGTTTAAAACCGACCAAAACCCACACAAAACAAGGTGAAAATGGAATTCAGCACCAAAATGGAGCAAGGAAACCACCCCCCCCGCCGGCGCCGGCCACCAAACTGCATTTTCAAATGTGGCTTTTTGGGGAAAAACTACCCAAAACGCCACACGGGTGGTGATTTTTGTGTTTTTTGCAGTCCTAAATTGGTTGAAATGAGCCCGAAACTGGGAGGGTTTGATGTCTTTTGGGATTTTTCACCAAAATAGGGTGGGTTTTTCTTCCTCCCCATCCAGGCTGCTGGTGGCGGCAGGTATTAAACGCCACCGGCAACGCTGCCGGCGAAGCCCTGATTGATGAAAAACCATCAGAAAAAGGGGAAAAATCAAAAAGGGAGGGTGAATTTGGGGGAAAAACCTGTAATTTGATAGGAAACATGAGTTGCTCCGGCGTAGCTAAAATCCCTGGGTTTGAACCCAAATGGAGATGTGCGTCGGGGACAGCACAAAGCCACGGCTCCGGGGGGG